TGTCTCTCACTTTCCACACACACACACACACACACACACACACACACAGACATAAACACTCACAAACATCAATTATCACAAGTTTATCATCTCTTCTTAAACTCTGATGTCCTTTGCAGATATTTGTCTCTCTCCGCCTGTTTGAATCTGTTATAAATTGTGCTGTATTTAGCCAGTTGAGGTAGCACCGAAAACGAGCTTGTTTTTGCCATTCTGTGTTCTCATGACTACTCAAACGGGAATAATTTTCGTTGTATCGATTCAGTTGATACGGTACAAACTTCCCATAAAAATTTAAGACAGAAAGGGACACAAGTTGAAGGTCTCCAAACAAAAACTAGGAAAATGAAAGGAAGACAACGAGGTTTGTGCATATACTTTACTCAAACAACACCGGAACTCACTATTCGGTCCACAATATTTGCTTTCTGAGGCTGAGAATCTTCTGGATTATACGAAAAGTTTTAACGACTTTTGGCTCACAAAGCAACTACGGTAGTTCTGCTTGAAAATAGTACCTAAATATAATTTTGGATCATCTAGTCGTGCAATTACCGGATAAATTTACCAATTACAAACTGCATGGTATCACACTGCCGATGGGATCGAACTAGGTCTAAACCGCTGCCCCGTGCTTCCTAGATTTTCACTTCACGTTTGATTTGCTATTCACACAACAAAGTTTACCGTGCAAAAATCACAAATTTACAAATTGCACGACAATACTCGATGAGCCCAGTTCCTATGGGGGTGGGGTGGGTGAAATCATCTGATTCTTTTGGGTTTATTTTTATATGAAAAGAAGGAGGAAGCTGCGAAGATACAAAAATTTCTTAGCTTTATACTGAATGATAAGAGAGGTAGACTTTTGATGGCAATACTGAACGGTATTTGGATATCATATCTATTGTGTAATGAAAACGTTTCCCAAGTTATAGTCATCTGCTTTTCATGCATCCTTCTGATAACTTCATAAAATCTTTCAGTTCCTCAGTTTTGTCTCTCAAATACAATGTTTTTAACTTGTAACTGCAGTCGGATTAGCCAATGAGATTTCGGCCCGCACGACGTGGTCGAGCGTATTGCTCGTCTCGACCTAACCATGTATTGATCAATATTTGAACTGCTTTGGCTGACTTGGTGGCGTACGACCATGGTATGTTCTGTAAATGTTTTGTTTCTGATAATTTTATTGTTTTTTGCCTCTTGTTAATCTAGCGGGAGTGCATCAGCATCCATATCGGCCAGTCTGGGGTGCAAATTGGCAATGCTTGCTGGGAACTCTATTGTCTTGAACATGGTGTTCAACCCGATGGCCACATGCCCAGTGATCAAACTATTGGTGCTGGTGATGATTCATTCACAACTTTTTTCACGGAAACCGGTGCAGGAAAATTTGTTCCCCGAGCTGTTTTCGTCGATCTCGAACCGACTGTTGTGGATGAAGTTCGTACAGGCACGTATCGACAACTATTTCATCCGGAACAACTTGTCACGGGAAAAGAAGATGCTGCAAATAATTATGCCAGAGGTCATTATACTGTTGGTAAAGAAATAGTTGATCTGGTACTCGATCGGATAAGAAAATGTGCCGACACGTGTTCTGGACTACAAGGATTTCTGATCTTTCACTCATTTGGTGGAGGCACCGGATCCGGATTCACTTCACTACTCATGGAACGTGTCTGTATAGATTATGGAAAAAAATCCAAACTGGAATTTGCTGTTTATCCGTCACCCCAAATTTCGACTTGTGTGGTTGAACCGTACAACTCTATTCTGAACACGCATACCACACTCGATCTTTCCGATTGTGCATTTATGGTTGATAATGAGGCAGTTTATGATGTGTGTCGGTAAGCTCACTTGTATTCGACTATTTATTTTTAATGTTCTTTTGTCAACCTAATGATAAAAAATGTCATTATATTTGTATCTTTTGTTTTATGACTATTTGATTTACTTTAGACGAAATTTGGACATCGAAAGACCAACATACACCAATGTGAATCGATTGATTTGTCAGTCAGTGAGTTCGATCACAGCCTCGCTACGATTTGACGGATCATTGAATGTGGATTTGATGGAATTTCAAACGAACCTGGTCCCGTATCCACGTATTCACTATCCGCTATGTGTCTACGCACCGGCCATATCAGCTGAGAAAGCTTATCATCAAAATTTGGATGTAAGCGATATCACAAATCAGTGTTTTGAACCGGCAAATCAATTGGTCAAATGTGATCCGCGACACGGCAAATACATGGCCTGTTGTTTGCTCTATCGGGGTGATGTGGTCCCGAAAGATGTGAACGCGGCGATTGCAACTATCAAATCGAAACGGACAATTCAGTTCGTGGACTGGTGTCCGACTGGATTCAAGGTCGGAATCAACTACCAGCCACCGACTGTGGTACCCGGTGGCGATTTGGCCAAAGTTCAACGAGCCGTATGCATGCTAAGCAATACGACCGCTATCGCCGAGGCCTGGGTCAGACTGGATCACAAATTTGACTTGATGTATGCGAAACGTGCTTTTGTGCATTGGTTTGTGGGAGAGGGAATGGAAGAAGGTGAGTTTTCCGAGGCTCGTGAAAATTTAGCTGCATTGGAAAAAGACTATGAAGAGGTTGGCACAGAGAGTGGCGAAGCCGAATCGGAAATGGAACAGGATGAAGAATATTAGACGATACATTGCATTGAGTAAATCAAACGTTGATTACGTGCCACATCTGTTCTACAAAATTCACGCGGAACAATTCTGTCAGCTACAAATGGTTTTAAGAGTTTCGGAAGTTCTGGTTCCGTCCAATCCCTGTTCACAATTTCCTAATTCCCTGCCCGTTGGAACCGCAAACTCTCTCTCCCGTAAATCGCTGCTTGACAAGTCCTACCAATCCTAATGACTTCGGTTGCTATTACGTGGTCACGTAATAGCCTTCCTGAGGAACAGGAAGTGTGTAACATATTTGATTTCTAATACGTTCACAAACGTATTAGAACAGAACACAATGCCCGAAGAACCATTACAATCGAATGTAATGGAATCACTCAACCCCCAAGTGTTTGTCTATTACGACTGAAAGATTATACAGTCTGTAATAGAACAATGTGCTATTGTCACCTGTAATAGAAACAGGTCAGTGAAAACAAACTATTGTCTTATCTTGTTTCTCTAACAGGGGTTTGTTTTGGTTTTCTAGTTGAGTGTAATCAGCCATCACAGCTGGTTGACGCCGCCACGGACAGGGACAGGATCGATCCTACCTCCAAAAAAATCAATATTGTCCCAATGTTTGAACACAAGTCACATGATGGTGAATTGGGCAATTGAGTTGCGAGTGAATTAATAAAAAAGAACATACCGATAGTAAGATGTACTAAAAAGCCTTTGATATGAGCATCGCCATCTGACGCGAAACGTGGACGTGTGCACCAAGCAAATCATTATTTTAATCCACTTCAAAATGGTTTCAAATTGTGCTTTTTAGTTTTTCAAAAAGAATTACTTGAGACTCGAAGTGCAGCATAAATCTCACCCAATATGTACAAAATGCACCGGGTCGCCAAACATTTGGGCTACCCAACATCTGAAAGGTTGCAACTGAAAAAAGTTCTATGCTAAGGAAAAATTCAGATTAAAATATAATGATAAACTAGGAGTTAAAGATATACAATAGATCAATAAAGATCTTTGCTAACTACATTGTTTATGGATAGGGGAAACAGATGGTGGTATCCGATCCTGACAACGACGATGATACAGAAAACTTGCGCCTACAGTTGCAGCTAATAATTCAGCAATAATCTTGTAAGCTTTGCTCCAACTCTGCCCAACAATGTGAGAGGCATAGGTACGCGAACAGTGCACATTGTTCATATATGGACCCGCAGTTAGATTGTGGTCTGCGCGGACCATCGTGCATGGACGGTCATTTTCCAAGAAATTCTTTTGGCCAACTTATCCTCACGTAGTAGCTAGCAGCTTACAGGTAAAAGTAGACAAATGTAAACATCCTAATCCTGATGAATTGTTAAAAAAGATGTGATGTAATTATAATTTCTCAAATAGACACTGTGGAAAACTGGCACCACCGAAACAAGAGCATCTGGTACTCCTTTGCGCGTCATGCTATACACAATGAATCATACAGTTGTTTTAATATCGATATAGACATTATAGTAATCCGATCCTTTGTTCGTTCATTTATTCCCAAACATTTAGAGGAACTAGTCACATTGATCATGTAAATGAGGTGTGAGCTGAAAAGCTGGAAAGCACTGGACAGTTGTTTTGACTTGATTGGGTCTCATTAGCAATGTGAATCCATCGACCCGACTGGGGATCAAACCCAGAACCTCACAGGTAGAACGCAAGCATGCTGCCCAATCGATCACCGAGAAGCATATTAGACCAATTCTAATTTCGAATGTGCAAGATATAGCACAACCCATCTTTGCGAGCTTGTTGCGAATATCTACTTGTGAGGTCCTGGGTTTGATCTCCTGTTGGGTCGATTGATTCGCACTGCCGATGAGACCCAACCAGATGGAAGCAGTTATCCAGCGCTTCCCAGCTTTTCAGCTCAGGCCTCATTTACTCGACGGATTCATTATATAATCAAATCAACTCCTTCAATAATCTCATAACCAAATCCAGTTGCGCCGCTGAAACTTTCCTCTACTCCCTATTCCGTAACTTATTTCTGCTACTTGATGAATTTTCTCACTGTAAGCTTGTAACTACATCAGGTGCATTTCAATGAACTGAAAGATCATCTAGACAACTGGACTGACGTGTGCTTCGGGGCAAAACTTTCGTGCATGCTGAGAAGGCGGCTGTCGTAATGAGACTTGGCCGTACCAAACATAATGACGCAAGCATAGCATCATTCCACAGATAGGATCTTCGGTGACTGCTCAAAATACACCGGACGAAATTCGACGACCGAAAAGCAAAATCCTGTACTTATGTAATCCTCACGACGTGGAAATTTTGGTGAATTGTCGGCAAGTAAAAATCAAGTGGATCTGAAGATAAGCATACAACAAATTGACCTTGAAGAATTGCATGCAGCCACGCGGCGTTTGCACAAAATCTTCCGGTTTCAGAGCAGTAGCAACGTGTTTCCACAAGCAGGAATTTAGAGTCCACCCTTGGTGATTAACTGTGGCTTTTCATGGTCATCACAATCAGCTTTGTCCACGAACTTGGCGCTACTATAATGATAGCATATTCACGCTCCATACTCCCGATTACCTGTAATGCACCTTCGCGCCGACTACATGGTAGTACACCCCGCTTCATGAGGATCGGCCCACAACCCACTTTGATCTGGTAGTTTAAACGTACGTACTTCCGGGGTTGCTGGAAAATTTCGCGATCAATCACCGCGGGTCTGCTCAAATTTTCAAAGTCAAAGTCAAAATCAAAATTTTATTACGGAATTGGCTTACAAGCTCATGCTTCTCTTGTCCCCATAGGATATTTATACAGTTGAATCGTTTCTTGGAGAAAAAAATAATAGTGTCACATAAAGTTCCAAGTAGGAGATAACAGATGATGTAGTCTTCAACGAATTTGCTGTTTTTTAGTCGTGTAAGAATATGAGGTGTGCCAGGGTTTCATCGAGTTTCCGTTTGAAACATTCAATAGTTGATGCACAAACTACGTGAGGTGGGTGTTTCAAGTACTGCATACTCTGACTGCAAAAGATTGGATTTAAAAAAGCGATTGGTGCCGGCATTTCAGTCAACACTTTGAAATCAGTAATTGGAAACAACATCCCCTAAGGTAAATATTGTTCGACAAGTGAGCAGCGGCCAACATGGATGATTTGGGTTCTGCAGTAGTTGATACGCCAAAATCGAGTCTCCCCGAATTCGGCGTTTCTGAGCAGAATATTGTCGATGTATTATGGGTATGCAGCGGTATGGATTGAGTCAGGGCACGTATCTCGGTCAGGTCCAGGATGGATGGAAC